AAGAACACCTGTGGACATAAAGACAGCCATCTACAAGTCAAGTAGAGAAGCCTAGAACAGATCCTTCCCTCACAGCTTTCAGAAGGAACAGACCCTGCCAACACCTTAATTTTAGACTTCTAGCCTCCAGAAATGTGAGATAATAAATCTCTATTGTTTAAGCACCCAGTTTGTGGGGCTTTGTTACAGAGGCCCTAGCAAACTAATACAGAGGATTTATGACAAGAAGCAAGTATTCGAAGCTCAAGGAGGATTCACAGAAGATGGAGATTTGCCTGATAGAGGAAATTCATGAACTCTTTCAGCATGCCTAATCTGTGCTAGAATTTGGAGAGTGACCCTAAGACCAGGGTCAGCAAATATTTTTTGTAATAAAGTTTTATAAGAAGACAGTCACATTTCTTTATTTACATATTTTCCTGTGGCTGTTTTTATGCTACAGTGACAGAAATGAGTCATTGCAGCAGAGATTATATGGCCCACAAAGCCTAAAATATTTACTCTTCGGATCTTTACAGAAAAGGCTTGACTTGCCCTAACTAGAACAAGATCACTGCCTGGGATCCCGCCTACTAGGGGCTAATAGAGCAAGTGCAGCAAATGGTCTGATCTGGACACAAAAATCCTAAGATCCCTAGAGCATAACACCTCTCAGTGTTTTCTCAGAGTAGACCTGGACAGTATGGATTAAGAGGAAGAATTTGAGACACTTCATTTACCTCTTCAACCCCAAAACAAGATGGAGCCACATCCAAGGGAGGAAGACATTCCTGAGTAAAAGAAGCAAAGGCACTAAAAGAAGAAGAGTTGGAAAAAGAAGAGTTAATCACATTCTTGAGGCATTATGACTTAACCAAGATTTTGGGACTAAAAATGTCATGTGTTAATGAAGCAGAAATTCATTTTGAAAAGGGAGAGATTAAAGTATGTGTTGTAATGTCCTTTGTGAAAATGTCATTGAAGTGAGGGAGAAAACCGAGGGCTATTGAAAAATTAGAAAAGTTTATGCCCAAATTGGTAACTCCTACTTCAAAGAAAATAAATATAAAAGCTATCATTTCAGAAATGTATATTTTGGCAGAACACCAATCCTCAATATGCCAAAAAATTGTCAGCAGACGGGAAATATCCTGAAGAACAAGAATGACCAGTTTATGTCAATCCTAATTTGACTTTGGAAGAAAGAATAAATGCAAAGAATGTTTTCAGAAAGTGTCCTCTTCCCAGGCCAAGAAGTTGAAATAAACAAGCCATTCAACAGAACCCACAAAATGTTGAGTTGTGTAACAGTCAGGCCACTGGCACTGAAAGACTAGGAAGTATGTTCTCATCTAGAGCTCACCCATTCTCATGGATGTATTCTAGAAGACTCTAGACTTGGATTCTAGCTATAAAGAGTCCTTCATAAGGAAATGAAGACCCAAAGAAGCAGCAGATGATTATCAGTAATAATTGATGTGACAATCAATAACAATTGACATGACAATCTTGAGGATGGGAAGCAATGAGTCGTGGCTGACCCTGAAGTTCAGCCAATAATGGGTATCCTAACCAAGGGGCTCCTCTTGGCGCAAATGAGAACAACCCTCAGACACTCAGAGAAGATGTAAAGAATCTTGTAATTGAAGAAGATCCGGAAGCTGATCACAATTTGAGAATGTCATGTTCAACTTACATCCCTTCCTCGTCATATGGAATGTGGAAAGAGTTGCTGGGATGTAACAAACAGTAAGGAGTAGAAGGGAGGGAAGGGGATAAGGGAGAACAACTTTGATCCGTATAATTTTAAACATCTATGTGCATGATGTATTCTTTGTACAGCATCTGTCTGAAGGCCCTCTCAGTACCCTCAAGAACTCTTTGTTGCTGTCACTTGAATGCTCTGTCTCTTCCTCACAGCACCCTCCCCACAACCAAGCTATCATAGCTATTGTTTCTCTTAGTTAGTTCCTGGCAGGGGAATGGGGGAGGGCGGTGGGTGTACCATAGGTGTGTATAAAGGTGAGAGGTTGTTCTACCCAACCTCAGGTCCCAACTGTCTTTTTCACATTGCTAAGTTCATTCTCTCTTTTCTCCAAGAAAACAAGCCATTCTGGCAGTGTTATGAGACAGAGAGAGAGAAAAGAAAATGAATCTAATACTTACAAATGTGGGACCTGCAGGAAATACACAGGTGGATGAATGAGTCTTAAGTGAAACTTGGTTGAAGGGCAGTGGTGTGAGAAAAACAAAGCTCATTCATAATTTATTCTATAGAACCCAAATGCAAAATAAACTAGTTCTAGGTGTTTATTATAGTTATAAGGAATGAGAGATCATTATGGGAAAGAGGATCTTTTATTTGGTGCAATTAAAAAGTCATTTTTATTAATATCCTCCTAATGATCTGATTACTGTATTTATTTGAATGCTTAGTTGAAATTTGAGCCATAGTACACCAATTAAAATATACAGTAATGGGTATAATTTGCAATCTCACCCTGGAGGTATAAAAATAGTAAAGTTTTTCGTTTTTTAAAACTGGCAACAAATTGGACACCTACCAGATTTGATGGAAAATTTTGGTTCCTTTATTTTAGAATTTATCTTTGCTCTTCCCAGGGCTCCACAAACTTTTGGAAGCATCTTGGTGTCCTAGAAAGAAGTCTGTGAGGCCATGATGAACTCTCTTGCTTCCCCTTGCCCTAGCTTCTATGGCCATTTGAGGGCAGGTGGCTTCACTGGCAGCAGCTTCTTCTCCCCATCAATCTCCTATCCAGTCCCCAAACATATCCACGGAAAGCCCTGGAATCTTCAGTGGAGGCACTAGCAGAGGAAACACTCCTCCAGTCTCTCAGTCTTATGGAAAGCACCTTCCATCAAGTTGGTTCAGATGCTTTTTCTTCAACTCTTAGAGCTCTCTTCCCTGTTCTCCCTTAGCACCTAAGCTGCTATATGGAAGGAAAAATAACTTTTTCCTCTACCCTTCTAAGTCCTCAGCTAAGGCCTGTGACAAAACACTGATTAACAATAGAAAAGCATACGAAATTTTTTAATACAAGTTTTACATGACACTGAAACCTTCATAAGGAAATGAAGACCCAAAGAAGCAGTTAAACCTGAATGTTTTTATGCTAAGTTTGATGAAGAGTGGAAAATCATGGGAAAATGTGATAAGATAAAGGGTATGAGCTAAGTGTAGTAAACTGGGGGAAACAGCAAGGCTTACTAGTTCCAATTCCTCCTGGTGTCTTAGAGATAAGGATGCATAGGGAGGGCACCTCTCACATGAGGGTTTTATGACTTGCTTAGGGGAAGGTCAGAAAGTCCTTCCTGCACATGTCATTTCTCAAATTGCTTCAGCCTAAAATATTCAGTATGCCAAGGTGCCATATTTTGGGATAGCGTGTCCTGAACCCCATCAATGCCAAAAGCACCAGCTTTTAATAACAAACTTGCTTATCATTCTTCTGGCACAAGAGAAGCCTAGGGCCCCAAGGTTGAGGGTCCTGTTTGTCTTTCATGTTGTACAGATCCGATGGGACTGGGCTGGAGAGTGGTGGGTTATCTCTTCATTCTTGTGGGTCTTTACCAAATGCACTTTCTTGATACTCTAACCTACCACATTACCTAGTGCCAATTGATGGCTCACATAATGCCATTTGATGTGCTTTGAGACTTTTTAAAAAACTGACTCAACCAAGTGAAAGGAATGCAGTGAAAGAAGAAGGGGAAACATACTGTGGGCTGTCATGAGGCAAGATAGTTTAGCTTAAAATTCTGCTTTTCTTTCACATTGAACACACTTTTAAAATGATTTTCTCGATGAGAGCAGCCCGCTGCCTATTTGCCTGTAGAAGCATCAGCAATGAAAGAACAAGACAATGAAATGGGAGCAGAGATCTGGATGGCTGCCTCCTCAACCTGGGTCAGTGCTGGGCCCGACAGGCACAGAACAGGTTTAGTCTTCATACTGTACTTGTTTGAATGCTTACTTGAAATTTGAGCCATGGTACACCAATTAAAAAGCTCTGAATTCTAAATAAAACCCTTCAGTATTTGTTCTCTAGGTCAACAAAGGACTGTCAATGAATCCAATTTAAAGGCGTGAACAATTTTTATGTCTCTCCTATTGGTTCAGATTTAAGAGATGCCAGTGGAAGAGTGGCACAGTATCTGTAAAAGGGATCAGGTTGAAATACATGATATGCCTTTAAAAAGTCTGTAGATGTTTAATTAAGTAGTCTAAAGTAAAGAAAAGTATACTACCAAATGATTCCAATGAAATATCGGCAAGAAGGTGTCTTCTTTCCATAGAATTAAGAGAAAACTTCTTAGAACACAATTATAAACTTGTGCATTTCTGGACTATATTTTAAGCACAAGGATTGGTTTGCTAATGAAACCACACTTGTTGCAGTAAAGGGAGAGTTGTAAGATAGACAAATCACTAAAGTTCTGATTTATTTGAATTAAAAAGTAGGTATAGAGAACAATCTTTGCCTATATATGTACTAATATTATAGGTGTATAGATGTATAGAATGAAAAAAATATAAAAATTCAATATATTTACTTCAGATATGTAATCATTTAGATTTTTTTTTTTTTAATTTGCTATATCTACAACACCAGTTAATGCAGAGGGTCAGTACTTGCCTCAATTCTGGAAACTTTCTACTATGACTAGATAGGCTGATATGCTTCCTGTAAAAATTCTGTTTTTAGCTCTTTTCTGTTGCCTTTGGCTATTCATGATTGGGAGTATTTGCTAATTTAGATTTCTTCATGGAGCACAATAAATATGAAAAATCTCAGCAAAAGCTTCTGTAGATTTAAGTTGTATTTTAAAACATAAATATAAATGATTATTTTTCAGAACCAATTCTTGGGAAGAATTGTAAGTAATTTATTATTGTTCTTGGAGTTAATTATATTAATTGTTTGTAGTGGATTAACAATGCCAAATGGAAGAGTGTTAATTAATTGAATAAGCATTTTTTACATTTTCTTCTCTTTCAGTTGATTTATCTTTAGTGAATAAGGATGAAAACGCCATCTATTTCTTGGGAAATTCTCTTGGCCTTCAACCAAAAATGGTTAAAACATATCTGGAAGAAGAACTAGATAAGTGGGCCAAAATGTAAGTATTATTCCAAAAGCTATCATTTAATATCTCATACAAGAATTTTAAAAATCACACTCGGTTGTCTAATATTTGAAAAGGTGTATAACTGAATCCTAGAATTTGAGGGCAGAGAGGAATCTTAGAGATTGTGTTCATTCAATACTCTCCTTTTACTGCTGAAATAACTGAGAATCAGTAGATAAGGTCATATGGCAAATTAGTGGCAGAGTAGAGTAAAACTTAAGAGCCAGCTCTGATGGCCTAGTGGTCAAAGTTCAGCACACTCCACTTCAGCAGCCTGGGTTCACTTCCTGGTCATGGAACCACACAACCTGTCTGACAGTTGCCATGCAGTGGTGGCGGCTCACATAGAAGAACTAGAAGGACTTACAACTAGGATAAACAACCATGCACTGGGGTTTTGGGGAAGAAAAAAATAAAAAAAGAAAGAGGAAGATTGGCCACAGATGTTAGCTCAGGGTGAATCTTTCCCTGCAAACAAATCAATCAATAAATAACTAAGAAAAAAAGAGTAAACTTAAAATATTTAAAAATCGAAGTTCCTCTTCTGAGTTGACATATCTAAATCATAAGTAATCATTTTATTTTATTTCTTTAATGAATAATAAGGGAGTTAATATTTAGGATTTAATTTAGTGTTTTCATGATTAGTTCTTGGCTAAACTCTATCAGGCTAATTTTTTTTTTCTTTTTGTGAGGAAGATTAGCCCTGAGTTAACATCCATTGCCAATCCTCCTCTTTTTGGTGAGGAAGACTGGCCCTGGGCTAACATCCATGCCCATCTTTCTCTACTTTATATGGGACACTGCCACAGCATGGCTTGACAAGTGGTGCATCAGTCTGCACCCAGGATCCAAACCTGTGAACCCTGGGCCACTGCAGCGGAGTACGCAAACTTAACTGCTGTGCCACCCAGGATCTTATCATGCTAATTTTTATAAGTAAGGAAATAAAAATTGTTAAGGGGAGGCAAGAGGTTGAGTGGAGCAGAAGGTACTTCCCTTCCCAAGCTGAACATTATTGTTGAGAAGATGCTCCATTTGGACTTAGCCAAGCAGGTTCACTCCAACCATGTGGAAATCTTGAATCAGGATCCATTTTTCTCTCCATTTCTTCTGTTTTACTTTTATTCTTCTGCTTATGAAACCCTTCACACTCTCTGCTTGCCTGAATGCTTACCCTCCTTAATCCCAACCTTCTCAACCACACTGATCATCACTCCCTGAATGTCCATTGCATTAACAATCACTGCTCTGGGATAAGCAGTTTAGTGGTGTCTATTTTCATTAGTTTCATATTCTTAGCTATATTATAAATCCCTTAGGGAAAATAACCTACTTTTATGTACTTCTTATCCTTCCCTAGTAATTACTGATAAAGTTGAAACTAGAAATATTTAAAAAATATTTTAACTATTTAAAAGTTTTCATATTTTTTAAAATTGTTAAATAGTTAAAATATTCAAAATAAGTAGAAATATGTTTAAAATATTTTCTGATTATTAAAATCTGAAAAATAGATACAAAGGGGGAACCAAACCTGAACGTCAGAAAAATAAAATTCGGAAAGATGAAACCAAACCAGATAAGAATTCTCAGCAAGACATTTGGCTCTCATAGAAACTTAGAATGTCTTCCCCATCTTTCTTCATTCTTCACGCCACTGGTCATTCATATTGGGAACAGTACCTCTTTTTTAAAGCGTCGTATACACTGACTATGCTAATGATTACTACCATGGCTGTTACTACCACTGCAAAGTTCTTAATTTTAGTGTTTAAGAATATAAGTTCACAACTCAAGGCAAGTAGGATAGAGGTTTATATAATGTATTAAGCCTATTATAACTTTATCTGCATAGCTTTTATTCATAAATTGAAAAATAAATATCACCACATTGGGAAGCATTTCTCACTAGCAGGTTTTAGTATTTAAAAAATTAGGGTCATCATCGATAAAAATGGTTAATATTCATTTTTGGCCTTAATGTGAAAGAGAGCAGAGAATTAGATTGAATTTGAACTTTAGAGAGTGTCCTTGCCTCTTGGATATTTATTCAGCAAGGCTGTGCATTTTTCTCCTTTAGGCTTTTAAAGAAGCTGTCCTGCTATCCTATTTATATCCTTATGATTATCCCACTTTGTTAAAGGACTGGTTGATTATTTTCAAGCCTTTAAAGTTACATTCCAGGAAAGCACCTGTCTGTCATAATACCCTTCTATTGTTATTACCTTTCGATTTCATATTTTACCTCATGACAGTAGAAAATTCCATAATATTAAACCCTTCTACTGATTTTTCAATGCTTCAAACAAAGTAAATTAAATTAGAAAAAAGACTTCTTCTGAGAAAAAGATTAGGTAGCTAGCTTCTTTTGCTTTATTTAGTCTTTGTTTTGTTCTATTTAGTCTTCTTGCTTTAAGTTGTGGTGGCCCAGTCAACGTCATGGCCCGGCCTGCCTGTGGATGTCACTGGTGTTTGAGGTGTATGATCGCAATCCTGTTCCCTCCTGTCCCTCCCATCGTCTTTGATCTCGAAAGTATTTGTTCGTTATTTCTTTGCTCCTAAATATTTAGCTTAAAATTCCACTCTGGCCTTTTCCACCTAAGGTTCTGTTGGGAGGTAAACTTTTCCGGTATCAATTTATGTCCTAGTGATTGGGGGCCTGTGAATTATTTGACAACTGTCAGATTATCAGGAGAACAGTTTATTTCACATGCATGCAGCAGCTCTCTACAAAGAGTGATTCACTGAACTGCCAGGGGTAACAGTTATACACCAGCTTAACAAAAGGGGGCAGTTTTAGGGATTCAATAGGCAAGTATGGAAGGTTCTATTGTGCTTTTTCATCCTGATGAAAATAGACAGTATCCATGCTGGCTGGAAGCTCCCTGAGGAGATGGCATCTGAATCCACACCTCCCAGTGCTAGGGGCCATCCTCTCTCTGAGGATGGTTCAATGACAGCTGTATTTTCAGGGGGCTCTGCTTAAGTTTAGATAATGTTTCTTTCTTTGGTTGCTGTTTGTTTATACACTTTCAAAGTAATCTTCATGCCACGCTGGTGGGCTACTGGTCCCTTTCCTTCTCTTTCCGATTATTGCTTTTGTTTTGTACTAAACCTCCTCTGCATAAGTTTGGTTTTCCTCTAGATCCAGGGCCTCCCATTATTGTGCAGAGTTTTATCTGATCATCTGTTCTTCACCTCCTCCAATCTACCTATGCTCTATTTCTCAGCTAATACCCAAGCCAGGCCAGTGTCTCCCTCTTTTCTCGACCAGTGGAAGATTTCGGGAAGGACTGAGTCAAAGAGATCTACACAGTCACTAAATACTCTAATACACATTGAAGTTAGTAGCTTAACAGGAAAAGAAATCATATTAAAAATGTATAATTTTAACAGTACATAAAAATTAGAGTGTTTTGACTAAGTGAGATATTGTTCTGGGATATTGATAACAAGTCTCTGACTGGCTGTCCATGACCTATAAGGTGGGAAATGCCATTTGGCTCATGGTTGTCGTCTTTTATGGCCAGTTGCAGATGTAGTACCCACCTATCTACAAAATAAAGTGTCACTGGCAATGATGCAGCCCGATCTTATAAGTCATATGGCTACCATCTTTGATTACTTACTCTAGAGGAAAGTCAAGAATAGAGGCACACTTAGAAATATTTTAGGACCCAAATGATTTCCTCCAAAACGTCAAGTTACTCAAGGCAAAACTGAAAATAAAGCACTTACCTCTGTTTTTTTTTGTAAAATGCTTATTATAGTTATTTTCCAATTTTATTTTCAACTGTATGTGATTTCTAAAGTAGTCTGATTAACACTTTACTTTGGAGAATACATTTGTTTTGTGAAAAGACAATACTTAGATAATTTTCATAATCTGAAATAGAAAAGTTTTAGGGTGATTTGACCCATTTGATATATAATAATTATCAGCAAAATGTTGCTATAACAATAAGAAGTAACAATATCAATATGCTGGGACCCTGTGGGTCTACTAGAATGGGTAGGCAATAAGCTTAAAGAATTATTTGAGAACATTTTATATTAAATATTTACTAATGGCCCAGATTATTTAAAGGAGAATAACATAGGTTAATAGTCATAGTGATAAAGTTGAAGGGAAAAATATCAGTCTTAAGGAGCACATTGTAAGTTGAGAAATATATATTATGTTCCTAAGATATAATCACAATATTTTAAGTTGTCTGCCTTGTCCTATCTACTAGATAAATGGTTTTCTTTATTTTTCATAGGAGCAAAAACTTGCCACAGTTGTGTCTTTATAGGGATTCTTCTAAGGACTGTGACATTTTAGGTAAGATTATTTAAAGAGGAAAATAGCCTGCTGAATCACATATTAGGAATGAACCACCTGCTTTGCACACAGTGGCTTGCTTTATGTGGCGATGTGTGTGCAGAAAGGGCCCTGGTGAAGCACATGGGAGAGCTGTGCGCCTGCAGCTACTGCAGTCTCCTTCAATTTAAGTGTTTCTGTCTTTCAAAAAAAAAAAGTGTATTGTAGAGAAGGAAAGACTTTCCCTCTACTCTCCTAGGTCCGATAGCTGGGTCTATGAAATAAACTGAAAACAGACAGATGAAGAGGAGAAAAGGCATAGCAATTTATTAATTTTTAATATTATATGCATGAGGGCATCACAGGAAAAGAAAAGTGAACACCCCATAAGTGGTGAGATTTGAACACTTATATATCGTCTAATATGGGAATATATAGGCCACTTAGGGGAGAGGAAATGATTTTTAGGAAAGATGAAAGGGCCCTTAGGAGAATGGATGGGAGGTATGATCATTTATGAGAAACTTTGTCTGAGTGTGCTGTTGACTTCTAGTCTCCTCTCCTGTGATGAGTCAATCTTCCATGGTGATGAAACTCTTGGGGAGTGGATTTATGACAACTGAGTTCCTTTTAAAGGATCTGTCTTCAGGCAGATAAGGGGAGTTCTGAGACAGCATGTGCCTGCATTTGTTGTTTTTCAAGTGCTTTCAGCTCAAAATAACCCTTAAGCTAAAGAGGCAAGTTTTAGTGTGGCTTATTCTGCCACCCTTCAGTGTGAATAAGAAAATACATGATATGACATGTTACAAAGATTTTCCTGATGTCTGTGTTGGCTAATCATCAGTTGGGTCACAGGAAAAATAATGGTGATATCATTAAGGAAGACCGAAGTCTTATTTATATACTTATTGGGAGAGCTTTTAAAAGGAGGACCACTTTTCATTTTGTAGGGTGGTTAAAGCCTAGTCCTATTTCAAAGAGAATCCACTTTTTTATTAACTTCCTAATTAGATTTTATATCCTGACATCTAATTTTGTGAGCAAATACTGCTCCATAGACATCTCAGAGAACACCCCACTCATGGCAAAGATTTATGCCCTGGTAGTGAGTTAACTCTCTCGCATGCTCTCCTTTTCTTTCCGACATTTGTGAAAGAAGGTTGTAACTATTTTAAGCAGTTTTGAATGAGAGCAATATAATCTTTTTCTTAACTCTAATGCATATGTTTATAACTGAACTATAATCTACATCAACTCTTTTTAATAACAGGCCACTTTACTTTGAGTTTATTTGGGTAACACTTTCTAAATACATTTCACTACCCCAGGCTAGCAGGCTGACAAAATGAAGGAGCAGACTCTGTGTGATATTTTAAAGGGAGAGAGATGCCAAAAGCATTGCAGGAAGAAAAGTGTCCTTAAAGATTATTACTATGGTGTCTACCAGAGTAAGAAGTAGGTGGCATAATATTCTGAGGTATAAATTCTCTGAGGCAGAACATAGAATTTTACTACCTAAATGTAATAAGATGTATTGTGCTATCAGCAAGGCCATGGAGCTCTATGTGATTAAAATTAAAAAGGATCCAAGTATCTGCCTTTAACTACCACTTAATGATAATGATTTTTGTCTTTAGCATTTATATTGGAAGTCAACAAAGAGGCAAGCTGCAGGCTATCTAATAATAATATGAATAATAATAACTAACAATTGCCTTTCTCTGCCTCCTTAGCTCTTATACTCTGTTTATTCTCAAAGAAAGTTCTCTTCCTTCACAAAGTTTATATCGTAATCAAAATATTAGTTTTAAAAATTGTGTTGTACATCATATAATAATGAAGGGAATTTTAGCATTAGATTTACGTTAGGAAAGAAGACTCAGAAAAGAGTTACTATGTACCAATCTCTTATACATGTTATCTTATTTATTTTTCACAGCAATTCTTTAAGGCATATATTGTCACCCTTTTATATTTACAAAAGTTGAAAATTATTAGGCCCTATAAGCTTCTAATAAATGTAGTTTCATAACCAGTAGTGACCTCTAACTGGCTCATGCCAGGTGATGGAAGCCAATTGTTAAATATTCAGGATTTTTGTTGATATCGTGAAATTGGCCACGATGGGGGTATTCACACCAGGAAAATCAGCAAAGGCTAAAAATCAGAGCTCCTCTCCTCCAGTTCCCCCACTTTCCTGTAGGGAAGGAAAAATAATTTTCCCTCTACCCTTCTGAATTCTTAGCTGAGACCTCTGTAACAAAAGACAGATTAACAAGAGAAAAACCAACAGAAGTTTATTAACATGAATACCTCATGTAGAAATGGGAGATAACCCAGGAAAAAATGAATAACTCCCTGAGGTGGTTTAGAGTTCAGGCTTGAATACCATCTTAATAGGGAAAGGGGAGGGCAGATGAAGTCCACTTTGGGGGTATTAAATAATTTTTAGGAAAGAAGAATGAGCCCTTGAAAAATAGATGGGAGAAATGAAGTTTGTGACAAAGTCTGTTTGGGCGTGGTGTTGACTTCTAGTGTCTTCTATAATAAGGGTCAATCTTCCCTGGTTAATAAAATTCCCAGCAAGGGGTTTTATGACAATTGCGTTCCCTTTGAAGAATCTGTCTTTAGGCAGATAGGGGAGTTCAGAGAAAGCCTCTCCCTGCATTTGCTGTTTTTCAAGTTCTTATGGCTCAACATAATTAATATACCACAGCGACATATTTGGGGGTGGAATATTCTAGTACCCTCCATCTCTGAGAGCAGATTTACCAGCTCACCACTGCGAGCTTACTGAATTCCAGAGCGTGGATTCAAACAGTTTGCACTATACAAAAATCACATACTCCTTTCTTCCAAGTTTACATAGTTTTTGGATTCTGAAAGAATTAAGAACAATCTAATTCAGAGCTCCCTAAGATACAAGTCTGTCACAGCACATAAAGTCACTCACTGCTTGATCTTTTGTTTTAATTTCTTCTGTATTTTTCAAATATATTTGCCTTCTTCATTTGATAAAAATTTCTCGAGAGTTGAAGTTCTCTTATGTGTTTTGTGTTTTTCCATTATGCCTACAGGGATACTTACTAGAATAATAAAATTGAGCTGGAATATGAAAGATGAAATTGCTAGAAAATAGATCAAGATGTAGTGTTGGCTTTGATTATTGCCAAGTTTCATTATCTACTTAAAATGTCATCATGCGTATCGTCACATTTTATACACTTCTATTTAATTTACAGATTGTAGCTATATTTTAAAATTCAATATATAATCATTTTAATCTCCAGCCTCAAAAATAGTAAGTATGTTTTAATATAGATACTACTATATGCTACAGGTATACAAGTAGAGGATTCAAATAGTCTTGAAAGTTTGAAAAGAAAAAAGAAAAAATAACATCTTGGACTCTAAAATAGAGAAAAATAATGAAATATTATGTGAGCAATCTCCCCTACTCCAAACAAAAAGGACATCAAAGAAATTTTAAAATGACAAGCTAAAAAATAGAGTTCTCAGCGCTGGCCTGGCGGTGTAGTGCTTAAGTTCGTGTGCTCCACTTCAGCGGCCGGAGTTTGCACGTTCGGATCCCGGGCACAGACCTATGCACCACTTATCAAGCCATGCTGTGGTGGCATCCCACATATAAAGTAGAGGAAGACGGGCATGGCTGGTAGCCCAGGGCCAGTGTTCCTCAGCAAAAAGAGGAGGATTGGCAACAGATGTTAGCTCAGGGCTAATCTTCCTCACCAAACAAAAAACAAAAGAGTTCTCAAGTATTACTTTTGGTTTTAAAAAAATATGTTTTCATATAATTACTAAAATGTTACAAAGACTCATTTAGAAATGTCCTGTTGCTAATGCTGATATTTGAAAAATCACGCACATATACCTACACACCCAAAAGCTAAGATTGTTTATGTCCCTTTTCAATTTCAGGGGAGGCTATGGTCATGAAGTAGGGAAACGTCCTTGGATTACTGGAGACGAGACTATCCTAGGCCTTATGAATGACATTGTAGGTAAGTACAAAGTGAATTTTTCCAAAAGAATTGTAAAGATATAATCATCTAGTTATAAACATAGGTTATAAAGTAAAAATCTTATCGAAGAACATCCTGATTTTCTATTTAATGCATAATAGTAAAAAGTATACCTTTAATTGAGATTTGATTGCTATAATGAACATAACTGGGTTATTTGGTACAAAAATAAAATATGTTATTATTATTTTTTGTATATTTTAACACTAATGTTTACTTCCCACTGAAAAACACATGCATTGTATTAATTTATAATTAAACAAATTTCTTAAAAATCAACTTAAATATTAATTTTCTAAGACTTTATTGTATGGTAAAATAAATATTAACTTTCACATGCTAAAGCTCTAAAATACCAATTATATTTTGGCTTGTTTCATCTTTATCCATGGTGATCTATTGTTATCGAAAATAATATGGTTGATGCTGTTTTTTGGTCTATATTTTGTTTGCTAAAGTGTGTTCTATGTACTCTTGGTGGTATTCCAGGTAGTTTTAGATGGTAAATGTATTAACATTTTGAAAAAAGTTATTTATTTAATTGGGTTGAATATTCAGCATTGCCTAAAATCTTCTATAACATTTAGAGTATTGAACAAAACAATTAATGATATTTAAGTAATTGGAGAGGTGTTACTTGGAAATATTTGGAGGAGTTAGAAAAACCTCAAGTGTCAAAATGCTATTTCAAACTTCACTTCTTTAGAGGCAAGTATAAAAAATGTCTTTGTTGCTTCACACCAATTGTATCTTGGCCAGTAATCAGAAGGCAAAATCAACTTGAGCTGGGAGGAAAATGAAATTAGAATGGGGAAAGTAAGACTTACATTCAGGAAGAATTATGGCAATTAGCAAGTCATGAAGTCTGGGGAATATCTTGTTTATTTAAAAAGTAATTATTGGACCTCTGCTGTCTGTCAGGATTTGTGGGAGGCACTGGGGATAAAATGATGAGAAAGAGTCCTCACCACTCTTATCCCCATGGGACTCCCAGTAAATGAAAATACAAAGAAATATAAAATTAATATATACATATAGTCACACAATACAAAGAAATGTAGAATTAATCACTGGGATTAGTGCTTCAAAAAGAAAGGCAATTTCCAGTTAATGATGGAGGACTGAACACCTGCATTTAAGTACTCTTTTTTTCTGAAATCTCACCAAACAATTCTTAGTGGAATTAGAAAAAAATTTAAAAAGCGTAAACCCCAAAGGACAAATAGAATGGCAAACGAGATGATAGCAACATTTTTGGGGAGTTAGATACCAGGGGGACATGTGGTAACTGCCTTTGCGGAAAAAAAAAAAAACCAAATCCTAATCTCCCGTTGGTGAAAAGATGGAAAGCCACCTGCTTTGCACTGTAGATCCTTCAAAGGCTTGGGGATTACTTACAGGATACACGTCTAGGAGTGGGAGTGAAGACAGGAATAAAAACAGGGACATTTGTTGAAAGTCTATTTAAAATGCAGTTAGAATACAAATCTCCTTGCCCACTCCATGCTGCCAGGCAAATCCTCCCCCACCCTCCTCCAGAAGAGACTGCGTGAGCCTCTGGAGAAGGGACAAGGGAAGGTCTCAGGGGAGCATATGTATATTATGTTAGTCAGCATGAGCTGCCATAACAAAATACCACAGACTTGGTGGCTTAAACAACAGAAATTTATTACAGTCCTGAACGGAGGCTAGAAGTCCAAGAAGAAGGGTTGGTTTCTGGTTAAGCCTCTCTTCCTGGCTTGTAGATGGCCATCTTCTGTGTCCTCACTTGGCCTTTCCTCTGTTGACACTCAGAAAGAGATCTCTAGTGCCTCTTCCTCTTCTTATAAGGACCCAGTCCTATCAGATTAAGGCCTGACCCTTATGACTTCGTTTAACCTATATTACCTCCTTATAGGCCCTGTCTCCAAATATACTCACGTTGGGGGTTAGGGCTTTAACGTACGAATTTTGGGAGGACACAGTTCAATCCATAATATATTCCATGATGAAAACAAAAGAGTTAAATAAAAGTTTATCCACTTCTGCTCTAACTTAGCTCCCAGTATCCATGCAGAAAGCTACAAAAGTCTTCTCTGTGATATTTGGACAACCTAAAGATTCTGATGTGAGTTTTCCCAGTACGATGGCCCAGTATAGGGCCATCAACAAACACTACCACAAGCACAGTGGGGAACACTCTCATGTTTAATACAGCCCAAATTACCAGACTTCTAAGGAAAATCTATTTTTAGTTTATGATCCATATAACTGTGTTACCTATTCAAAAAGTTGAAAAAAAGAATCCCGTAAAAGGATTGCAAGCAAAAGAATAAGTTCTTTCCTACTAGATATTATTGAGTAATCATTACACTATACACATTTCTATCTGTTCTATGTGGTTATATTATAGGATCAGAATATTGACTTGCAGTTTAAGATAACAGATTAAGCACAAACTGAAAACACTCCCTTCTATTCCAAACACGGAGCAAGGATAGAAAATAATTAGATTAATAAACATGTAGAAATACTAAAAAACATTAAATAGAAACCTCTATTGACCAGAAATATAGCCATTGCTGAAGAAAGGAGCAGTTGGAAGCCAGGAAGCACAGGATTTTAGGGTTAGCACCTGGAGCCAGGCTGAGTGTGGAGGGCCCGAGTCCAGGACACTCACAAGAAGCCCCAGGGTGAATCCTCACCGCTTTCAGTGCCGGGGCTGCGACCCAAGGCCAGAATCTTTATCAACCAGGCCAGGTAAAAGTGAAAACCCAGCATGTCCTGCCACACCAGTCAGGTTCTTGGGAACACAGAGCAGGTGATCAGGCGGTCAGCATTATCTAAAGGAGTGTATATTCTGATGGAGGAAATCACCATCAGAACAATCCTGGATTGCATTTAAAGGTGTATTAAATAGTTGTTTAATAATGCTTTTATTTGTGTTCATTTTTTAGAAGCCAATTATATTCATTCAAATGTCTAACATGTAGATAAAACACTTGAATAGCATCCTAAATTAATGTGACCTGAGTATATATGTTATCCCTAGCTGTGGATTGTTGTTTTCTTTACTGTTTGCTTTCAAAACATAAACTGTGTTCTAATCCTGTTATTTTGTGCTTAATATTTATCATCCTCTAAAGAGGAGTTGGGATGTTTATATACAGGCCAGGGAAGTGGTAAGGTGATATTATTTAGTGAGATTTATTTATGAAGCCAATAAATCCTGCTAAAAGATTTCCTTTGACCATTCAAAAGTTTATAGCTCTATTGCAACTTATTAAATGTGCAAGTATTTTGTTGCTCAGCAAGTGCATCTATGTGACAATGATCACTGAAATTTCAAACCAGCCTCCTCTCATTATTATTACTAAGGAAAATGAAAAAAAAAAAGACTAAATATCAGATTTATTTAGAAAAGTAAAAGGATTGAACTTATTAAATTTTTTTAAAAGAATATTTAACAACTCTAGCTTTAAAGATTATTGTCTTTGAAATGCCATGCAAAGTTGTAACACATATGAGATAAACTTCATTTTGTTTTCTGTGATTTTTTCCTTGAATGTTCTATTAATTAAATTACACACATTTGATTCTAATAATTTGGGATATGAAAAATAACAGTTATCTTTTGAAATGGGCATAGTCACTTTTGTAGACATGAAACTCAATAAACAATATATATTGTTTATTATATATATATCTTCCCAAAGTCTCAAGCCTTATATGACAAATGCATTGTCATAGTTCATTGAAATATTGTCAGTGAAGGAAGGTGATCCTTAGTTTAATGATTCTTTTATTAAATGTCTGTTTTATTCTCTACAGTTCATGTTTTATTAGGAGAAATATTTCTACCATTTTTTTGTTGATCAAAGGAAGACAAATTGACAGTGTCTGCAAAGTGTATTATGAGCAATATTTTAAAAATTGGTATTTTTTTATTTCAGTAACTGTTATCTCTCAAATTTCTTTACTTTTAAATTTGTATATATCAAAGAAATGGTTCTTAAGTCAAGTTGAAAAATGAATGAGTTCACTCTGTTTGCTTAGTAGGAACAGATTTTTTTAGAAGGTGTTTGTGTGTGTGTTTATCTTTGTTGTAAATTCCATGCAAGTTCCCTTTTTGCTTCAGTTACTCGGAAGCTCTGAGAAAATCTGGTGGAGTTTGAAGTAGCAAAAACATTTAACATCTTCTAATTTGTTTCTCATCTGCCTACATTGTACTCTATTTCTACTTTTTATCATTCTCCCTCACATTGTAATACAAGAAGCCTAAATTCTTCTTTGGAAGTACATGTTGTATAAATTAAAAATAATTAAAATAATTATGTGGTAACTACAGGACAGAGCAGCAGAAGTCAAATTTATTTTTGCTACTTGCTAGACCATCTAAATGTGTCATGAGCAAACAGACAGACAAGTTGTATATTTGGGGCTATGATTGAATCTTCCAGGCCCTTAAAACCACAGCCTTTATTTCACCATAAAATTTCTCAAAAAGAAGTAACAGGAGGATAATAAAAATTATTATGTGTACAAATTGATCGAGTGGGTAGAGAGAAGGAAGGGACAATGAACAACCATATTTATTCTTAGACATAGAAAAGAATTTCAATTTCAGATGAGAAGAAAAACTATCAATAAAACATTTTATACAGTGCCAACAATTCTGCAAAACATGGAATAACTTTCCCTTATAATTAATGTCATATTATCAAGATACTAAAAATAGAATTGCTGAAGAATATTACTAGTATTATTATTAAGGCTACTTCTCCCTGGGTACATAAAAATCACACAGGGCTACATATATGCATTTCAGCTTACAAAAATGTTGTAATGTGAACATAAATTTGCTTTATGAAACTTGTGGTTGACCCACAGAGAAGCAGCAATCACTGGAAGCTCTCTCCAAACAGTTAGGAATCCTCAGCCATGCGCAAGCCTCCTCTAGAGGCCACAGGAATTTGCCACTTGAAAAACAGAATGGAAAGTTCTCGGACTTAGCCTAAGTACAATCCTTACAACCAAATCCACAATAACATTTGCGGCAGCTTAATAAAGTATACACAACATGGTATGACAGTTATGAGATCCATCATGAGCCCTGTTATCAAACACTAAGCAGCTTGGGGCCCTGTTATCCTCACTTTGCAAAATATTTGAAATTAAATTAGGATTAGAAAGATGCAGAGGGATGTTGATAATGAACATGGACTTCCTATATTTGACTTGCAGGGAGTGGATAATGTAGACTATGATTCCAAATGTAATCTTTTTTTTTTTTTTGTGAGAAGATCAGCCCTGAGCTAACATCCATGCCAATCCTCCTCTTTTTGCTGAGGAAAACTGGCCCTGAGCTCACATCCATGCTGATCTTCCTCTACTTTATGTGGGATGCCACCAGAGTATGGCCTGACAAGTGGTGCGTCGGTGCGCGCCCGGGATCCGAACCTGGGCCGCCAGCGGTGGAACTTGTGCACTTAACCGCTACGCCACGGGGCCGACCCCCAAATGTAATCTTAAACAAAGATTCTAATTAATTTTTTTTTAAGAGAGGGTAGGAGTTTGTTTTCTACTTCCTATCTGTGAGACTTTAGGCAAGTTAGTTCATCTCTTTGGATGTCAGTTTCCTCATTGATAAATATGGAGAATCAAAGTAGGTACTTCATTGGGTTACTGTGAAGACTATGTAAGACAATGCAAGTCACATATTTAGAAGTGTTGACACATTGTAAGGGCTCAGTAAACATTAGCATGCCAGGCATTGACATCAGATGACAGTGCTTGCATTTAACTAAAGTTCACCTTCCGGTAAAGCAAAATATTATGTTCAATAAATAAACAGGCAGGAAAACACTCTTCAGATGAGAACCCTGGCTCACATCTATCTCAGGTGACGCGATTCAATTTGACATTTACTGCAGTGAGTTGTGAATGATCTTCTAAAGTGAAGACTCTTCCAAATCCTGATAAGCTTTCAGGAAGTTTTAAAAAAAAATTTGCTCCCCAATGCTTGTAGTTTGATGTTTCAACATTAATTCAAAAAAAGCTCTTAGGAAAAAGAAAAGGAACAAAGAATAGCAACTTGAAAGAATTTCAGTTTGCTTTCAAAAAACAAGATTTATTTTCTTATGGAATGCTGACGGTATTGAAATATCTTAGAACAAATGGTTTCAGAAATACAATTTGAACCAAAAGAGATAGGTCAATTGGGCAAATTTTCTTACAAAAATATGTTAAAAATCAGTCTGATTTGTGGTCCTTTGATGTTAAGAACACTTGATTGTTTTGTGCCTTTAGGCTATATTTGGAATAAACATTTCTGTTAATCTTCTGAAACTTTAATATTTGCACCATCCTCAGATACATGTGTGCACATGCACACATGTTAAATAGCCTGATCCACCCTGACAGAGTTTAATAGCAGGTGAAGAGAGCATTTTGTGAAGCACATGCTTGAATTTAAAGTGTTCCACGGTGAGATAATTTTTGTGCATGTGAGCAGACAAACTATTCAAGTCAGTGAGGGGTTATTTACAAAGAATTGATTCAAGTGTTAGTATGCCATTGAAAGTGAAGGGAGGAAACCACAATGTCAAGTGTCTGTCTAGATTAATTCAGCCCAGCTCATCTGTTCATCACATTCCATGCAGAAAAAACGTTAGGTGATCCAAAATGAACATTGCACTGTTTGGAGGACTAAAAATTTCAAGGAATCTAATCATTTTAATCAAGATGTAATCATTAAGCAAAAATGGAGTGTCTGACCTTCTATGGAAAGTCTCCCTCCCTTCCTGCCTCTTCCATTTCTTTGTTTTTATTTTATGATAACTAATTTATGAATTATTTTTTCTTCTTTTGTTTCCTTCTCATTAAAGTCTTTCAAATGCTTCCCTTACTGCTAATTCTGCTCTGTCTTTATATTACTTTTCCTTCCCTTCTTCCTTCCACTCTCTCTGCCAAAATATTTTTTATTGAAATAACTGGTTTTCAGAAAAGATGTGTGTAAATAGCTAACAGGGAGTTAAGGATAATATCAGATTAGATATCTTAGATAATGTTTTGTTTTCAAAATAATGGTAAAAATTCATACCATAATGCAAAGACACAAATATAATAAAGCTGGCGGCATTTCTTTTACCGTATTTCAAAAAGATTTTCATATTGTAGGAGAAGACATATGCCACTGTATACAACATAACCTTCTCATATTCATATCTATCCAGTATGTTTAAGAGAAATTTTATTTAGTGCTAGGAATGTGGAATGAGATTGTTCTTCTGGCCCCTTGGCTTCAGACATTATCACCTTATAATGACCAGGACACATCTTTAACACTCACCACTTGTTTACCTCCTGTGCATATCAAATGGGGAAATCCATCTGCCGATGCAACAAGAGGTTTTTCTTCACTAGAGGAAGACACGGGCCCTTCCTTAAATGACTATGTTGAAATATAAATTCCTAATTTATACACTTATTCCCAGTGGCCACCTTTCAAGTGAACTTATCCTGGAATCTATTAATTAGATTAATTATTCCACTTACTGTCTAGTCTCTTAAAATAGCACTCTATCAAAAGTATCTCTTCGGATACAAAATGTAGGACTTATATTAGACATTTTCTCTAACACCTAGTCCAGCCTTCCAAACATTAAAGCTCATAGCTCATTTTTTTCATGAGTAAAGAGACATCATTAAAGAAACATCATTCCTATCATACAGATCTAATTGCCTTTAAGAGACATCATAAGAACTAAAAATAGGAAATGTATTATTATTGTTGTTAGCATGCTCTGAGTTCTTAAGTATCCAGTGTATGCTTTGTCTCTGGGTCTGTTCTAAGTGCCAAAATCCTCACTACTAGGAATTAGATCTGATTATGATTGTGTAGTGGATATCTTAACTCTGCATGTTTTCTCCATCAGACAATGCATATCTGTATTAATTATCTTGTATCAGTGTGTATGAATAAAGCCCAGAGCTCTTTAGCTCTTTGTATTTTGCTTCCTAGCTCTTTTGTCTTATAAACTATTATATATTTCACTGTAATAACAGTGAATTATGTTTGGCAAAAAGGCCTTCTTTTATTAAAGCTACATTTTAATTTGACACTAGAAACAACCCCCCAGCTTTAAAAATGTGATTGGCCTTCATTTCTTTTTAGATTCCTTTTGGAGATACACTTACCACAAAAATGTGCTCTGTGGGAATTTGACAAACTAGCTGATAATGGGATAAATCATTTTTAGTTTATAGGAAAAAGGAAATGCTTCATTATTCTGCTCTTATTATTTACTATATCAAAAAGGAAATATACTTTTTAGCTAGCTATGTGCATGTGAGTCCAGATATCATTTGATAAAATGAGTCAAGTGGGAAAACTTCCATTTCTTTGTGATGACACATCAAATATGCCCTTATCTCTAAAAACATTAAGGATGAAGGAGTGAAGCCTCCCTACTTTGTTTTTCCACGTATCTTTAGAACTGATAGAAAAATCTAAATTGTGATATATTTATTTTGCAGGAGCCAATGAGAAAGAAATAGCCCTAATGAATGGTTTGAGTGTGAATTTACATCTTCTACTGGTAAGTTTCTTTTCCCACCAATGTTTAGTATACACTCATTTACAGAATCTGACATTTTTCTATCTTTAATTCATGAGCATCTGGTGGTTTACTTATTTAAAAATAAGTTGTGAGATTATTTTCACTTTTACCAGGAAATGCTGGACCATAATGGAATGGCTTCTTCATAATCCTGGAAGAGTTGACTCTGGCAAGGAGCTTTAGAAAAATGAATAGCTCTTATCTCATAATGTAAGGAATAAGAGTCACAGTGGGTGAAAAGCAAAAGTGCTTGCAAGGGTGCAAAACAATGATGTACAAACGCTAGCAAACACTGAATTTTTCAGAAAAACAGTTTTTCCATATGCCAGAATTTAGCAGGGTAGGATTACGGATCAGTATTTTTTGTAGCTTAATTTTTGGGGAGTAGGTTAAAAAAATTAGAAAAATAAAACTAAATTGGAGAAAAGGGATCTAGTATCTCAAGGAGTTATTGTGTTTAAAGTGCTTCTTATATGCTAAGTACTTAATAAATATGTATATCTTAAAATCTCAAATATATTCTTGATTTGAATAATATGCCTATAGTAATTGCTTGATGCTTTAAAAAATTATTTCATTTTTAAGTGAGTTATTGAAAACATGTCTACAAGACCAAGATGCACAAGAAGATATTAATATTTTATTTTAATAAAATAGAGAAATGATTATTAAATATGCCTGAAGGAACATGTTTGTGGAGTATGTTAAGTAAGATGGTAAGCAGCATAGTTTTAAGTTCAGACATGGCTGAGTTTTACTCCCAGCTAAGTTACTTAATGCCTGTTTGACTTTGGAACACGGTTTTTTGCATTTCTAAATCTTAATTTTCTTCTTTGGAAAAATGAGGACAGTAATAGCTACCTCATAAGTATGCATGATTATAAAATGTGATAATATGTGAAAATTGCTCTAGCACCCTGACAAATGATCAACACCCAAATAACAGTAGTGATCATTTTCATTGTTATTATTGTCAGTCAGTATTTATTCTCCAGGAACTGTGTGGAGGAATGAAAAGGCCTCACTGAACAAATGAGCTACTTCCTCTAGAAAGTGCCTCCAGAAATGTTAAATGTTTCTTTAGGGATAATGTACTTTTAGTTGGACCTAAAATAAAATTGAATAGAGTAATAAAGCAGTGGAAATATTATGTACTAGAAACCCAATCAGCAGTGCAAGATAAATCAATATGAATAAGACATACATAGAACATGATATTTCAGGCTCACAATACAGAAATACCATTAAATGCATTTGGAAGATAATTTTTCAATAAAAATTGAAGTTTGAGAATTTGTTTTTATCAGATTCACATTTTCTCCTAAGTTTGCATTTCCATTGATAAATGTCATGAGCCAATACCTTCTTCCTCTTTATAGTGCATTGGAAACAAGGCTAATTGGAAAAGTTACCCTTGAAAGACATCAAAATGTTTAATTAATTAATGCCTTTAAAATGCTGGAGATTACAAAATGAAAATGTGGTGTAAAATGAACAAATGTATAAATTGTGCATTAATACTTTTCTCAATAAATCATTTCATTGCAGTTATCGTTTTTTAAGCCTACGCCAAAACGATATAAAATTCTTCTAGAAGCCAAAGCCTTCCCTTCAGATCATGTAAGGATTCTTCAAATTATATTTGTATTCTTTATACTCTTCCTAGAGGAGCATATCATTTGCCTGACTTGAATGTTTATTCACTAGTTTTTCCAAGCAACTTTACAATAAAAAGATCTGACAAATGTTTTTGATTTAGGCATTTTTTAATAGATTGTAGCTTTGTTTCTTTTGTTCAAGTAAAACATGTGTTAAGGGAGGAAAGGACTGAATAGGAACATTGATTTATTAGTCTTTTTAAAGACATTGAGCAAATTGCTGGTCTAAATCAAGTGCAGTTATGAATGCTTTATTAATTCTTGTTGCTGTTTTATTTTACAAAATCAAATCGATACATACCTCAGTGCTTAACCCTTTAGCTACATAGAATAGGAATATAAACTTTTATTTGTCCATTTGTTTTCATAGCACGCTAGCATAATTATTGGTGCTTGATTATTGAAAGAAATATTTATTAAAGATTAAAATATTTCTTGTGGTTCCCCCCAAAAATCTTGCTATTTTATCAACAGTTTGGTTGATAAGAAATCTGATAGTTCTAGACACAGACACAAATAAAAATATATTGCTATTTCAGCTTTAGTGTTAAAGAAACTTGATTTGTGTCTTTATGTTATCACCGTTAACTATTCTAGCCCACATCTTATAATTTTAAGCCATTTAATTATGTACAAATTAATAGCCATTATCTTACTGAAAAGGATAAAAACCCTAATATCTTTAAAAAATTCAGGGTCTTCATAATTGCTTGTCCCCATTCATATGTTATACTCTCAAAGCAGGGAAGTTTTTGATGTCCTTTCCTTTTACTAGCTTACTCTTTCTAAAGTAAACCACATCTATATCCTATATTCAAGCATATCAAACCCACACTACTCACTTCGGTTATTTCATAAACTCTGGTTTTGACTTAGATTAGATGATTTAATATCTTATTCTAAAAATCTCTCGTAACTCCCTAAAGTCTAGATGACCCCTGTGCTTCCATTCATCTCACTATTTAGTGTTTCGAAGAAAGTTCAGATTCCTGTGTGTAAATTATATTAAACAGTTCTTCTCTGATGTATTCTGTTTAGTCACTTTTAACTTTGACTTTGGATTTAATATAATAGTATGTTTTTATTGTTATTTTATTATTTCTTGTCTGAGTTATTTCACTGTACTTCTGTGCATTGGACTTGATTTAATAAATCGTCTTTCTTTTCCAGTATGCTATTGAATCACAGCTTCAACTTCACGGTCTTAACGTTGAGGAAAGTATGCGGATTATAAAGCCAAGAGAGGTATATGAGAAAGAGAAATACATATACATCATGCTTCTGTTTAGTATTGATTTTTTTCTTCATTTTCCTCAAAAGTTTATTGTCTTCATTACTTTAATGGAACGTTCAAGAAAGTATAAAAGACCTATGCTTCTGTTACTGTTAGGTCATTTTGCATGAAATGGAGAACTAACTCAGAAGTGTATTTCTTTTCATTTTGCAAAGGATAGTCATATTACAAGCAAACTATTTTTCTATTAATACCACTGGAATATGCCATATTCTTCAATGGGATGAGAGGGGATGGCAAATTGCATATATTATTTTTAATTTCAAATGCCATTACCTATGGGTGCCATTAAGATTATGTTAAAGACTAGTGATATTTGTTGAAATTGAATGATGCCTATCTTTTATGTCTCCTCTTAATTGAAGTATCAAATATTTTCCTTTATGCTTGGATTGGGGTGTAGAAAGGGACACTATACAGCAGGAAAAGCTTGGGCTTTGCAGCCTGGCTGATATACCCCAGAAAAAGCCCAGACTCACCAATTTACTGGATAAGGGACTTTGGGAAGGTTACTTTATCTCTCTGAGATTCCTTCATATTTAAACAGGTAACAAAGGAAATACCTAATCAGGCTGGACCATATGTTCAAGATCTAAAATAGTGTGCACTTTACATTAATAAAGATACAAGGCTAAGTGATACAGACTTTGACATATAAACCCGGCAGCTTGTGTAATATGGCACGAAGAAATCCACACAGAATAAATTTTAGGTTTCGCAAATGATGCTCCCAGGCCATTAAACCAATGTTTGAACAATTATTTATTTTAACCCAGAATACTTTAAGAAATTAAAATCTACTCCATTCACTTCTGTTTGCCAATATGCAGTAAATTAATGGAATAGAAAGTTCTCACATCTGTGAGAGGGTATTGGTTTCATAGGTCATATATAAATTGCTAATCTCTAGCAAAAATGAATATAGCCACTAATATGTCACAAGTTTTAATTTTAAAAGTGATGTGTTGGGCCAGCCACAGTGGTCTAGTCGTTAAGTTCAGCACACTCTGCTTCCGCCGCCCAGGTTCAGTTCCCAGACACAGACCTACACCACTCATCTGTCAGTGGCCATGCTGTGGCAGCAGCCCACATACAAAAAGAGAAAGATTGGCAACAGATGTTAGTTCAGGGCAAATCTTCCTCAGCAAAAGAAAAAAAAAAAGTGACAAGTGTTGTGGGGCCTCATGAGTTAATCATAATCTTGTGCGCAATCTTTAGCATTACCAGATTAGAGCAAGTCAACATGAGAGAGGACCACAATCTGTCATTAAGGAATATATTTCTTATTTGAGCAATACTGATTCTTTAAAGAAATAAATTAAGCATTAGTATATGTAGTACTTTCCTTACTCTTTTTTTGAAACTATAGTGAACAAACCATATTAGATTCCTCTAAGAAAAAAGAGCTTTGGATTACCATGTTATTAATTTTACTCAAAATTTTTCTTGGAATTACTGAAATCCTTCTCCTTGTATATAAGTTACACATCACTTAATTCAAAGATTTCAATATTAATACCGTTTTAATAGCTTCCCACTTTGTAAACAAGTTTCAGGCTTCTAGTAGAAACTAGAGTATGTATTGCATTTGTGATATACATAATATGCCTAACATGGGACATAGTAATTGGCAAATAGCAAGAACTACCAAAAATTAAAAATGACTGGAGGAAAATTTATAAATATGTCAATGAGCTTCCTCCAAATATTAATGCAGTTAATGATGCTTTGACCTCAAAATCATATCATATTTAGCACTAGAGAAAATTCATGAAGATTTCATAAATAGGTAAGAATTATTAGAGTACAGACAGATACTTTGTATTTAGCTGATTTCTTTTTTGCTCAAGTTGTTTGCAAAACCAAATCTAAATTCATTCACAATTTTCGTGAAGTAACCAATCATTAGTATTAGGTGGGGAGATGTAGAGAAAAGTAACCTTAATAATTGAGTTTCATTGATATTTTTCTTCATGTTTGGGTCGTGATCTTTAGATTGGCATGGAGAATATTTTACTCTTAAGTTAGTAGAAGATGTTAATTGGGTTATACTCAGATGAAAGACATATAAGTGTTTTTTTCCTGCAAGAAATTACATGGTATTAGATTGATAAGTGAAGTACTACTTTGTAAGAAATTTCTCTTGCCATTTAATATTTCGTGGACTTCTTGTACTTTCTGGTATTTTATTGGATGGGAGTAAAGAAGAAACAATTTATAGATATGCAAATAGTACAGGTTAATTGAAAAACTGAAGAATAAATCAAATAAGTAGGGTTTTGCAAAGGCTTACACTTTATAATCCTCTTTTTACCATTTTATTATCATTTCTTAATAATAACAAAAAGCATGCCCAAATGCTGCTCTCTTCACAGATTTTTGAAGATCATTAATTTAAAAAAAATTTATCTTAGGGGCCGGCCCGGTGGCGCAAGCGGTTAAGTGCGCGCGTTCCGCTGCGGCGGCCCGGGGTTCGCTGGTTCGGATCCCGGGCGCGCACCGACGCGCTGCTTGGCAAGCCATGCTGTGGCGGCGTCCCATATAAAGTGGAGGAAGATGGGCACAGATGTTAGCCCAGGGCTGTCTTCCTCAGCAAAAAAAGAGGAGGATTGGCGGATGTTAGCACAGGGCTAATCTCCTCACAAAAAAAAAAAAAAAAATTTATCTTGGATTTTTCTTGTGGTAGGAAAGAGCTCATGGTGAATTTCAGTTTGGGAAATATGAAGTGACAAATTTATTATTGTGGATATGAGGTAACTTGTGCCTAACTTTGACTTTAGGGGGAAGAAACCTTGAGAATAGAAGATATCCTTGAAGTCATTGAGAAGGAAGGAGACTCGATTGCAGTCGTTCTATTCAGTGGGCTGCATTTTTATACTGGACAGCTCTTTAATATACCTGCCATCACCAAAGCTGGCCAGGCAAAGGTATGCTCATTGTTTTCTCCTTCCAGCCTCACCCCAAACATCAGTCTACTGAAGAGTGTTTTAAATGCGCCTCTAGTGAAATACCTTTGTGTCTGCATAAAAGTTTTTGAAGAGCTAAAAACAGAGTCAGCTTTAAATTAAGAAAAAAAAAATCTATACTCTTTTTTGCTTCAGGCATCTCTATTTAAACTTCTTTTTGTCACTTTTTCTGTGGTCTCACCTCCTTACTAGCATCTGCTCTCCCAGTTTGGCCTCTAGTCAGCAGGACCGATGAGCTTCCTGCAGGTGGCGTGATTGGTACTGAGCTGCTCAGTCGGCAGGAAGCAGACAGCAGACGGAATACTTAGGATAGCAAGGGCACATTAGGACTGTTAGAAACTCAACTCTGGTACTTTGTCATACTGTAACTCATTCTAAATATAATTCAGTTCTCACTTAACCCTAAGTACCCTAAGAAAAAGGAGAGATGCAGAATAAAAGTTTATCAGTAGATCGAGTTTTACAGTTTATTTTAGGGAAGCCATTTTGTTCCTAAGAATCTTGAGAAATTGTTATATTGCCTATATGCATGTTTTTCCCTACATATTACTAAATCACACTTAAATTGTTTACTATTTTGAAATTGTGTCTCTTTACATATAAGCATTTATAAAACAGTGTTTTTAGTATTTGTTTGCTTGAAAAAAGAAATCAGAGGAAGAACATTCAACGGTCACAATCTGTTTAAAATTCTTAAATAACAGTTCTATTTGATTCAGCAATCAAGTCATGTATTTAAAAAGGTGACAATCGAATTTTATTCTGAACATTAATAAGTTATGGGATTAATATATGTGTGAGGTCTAGTTAATATATTCAGTTATTGAAGCTAATGAATGGAACTAATGAAGAGAAATTTAGCACCATTATCAGCAGTCTCTAGGAATTTCCAACCACGACTTCCAACTGGTTTGATGGATAACAGTGAAAGTGGTGCATTACAAAAGATATAAAGATAATGTCTTCTTAATTTAGGTATTAAATGTTAAGCACCAAAATAAAGGAAGGCCAATAAAAAAATCATATTTTAAAATGTTATACAAGTAATCAGCAGTCCCAGGTCCCTTTGGTATACATGCATGTCTCATTAACCATCATAGAAATGAGGCAGGAAGATAGAGAAGAAAGACCATAAGTTTTGGAATCACACAGTTTGAGGTTCAAATCTTGGCTAGGTCATTTCGTTGTTTATATGACTTCAGGCAATTTACTTGACTTTTCTGAGTTTCTATTTTCAAAAGCGTTACTTTGGGATAACAAGACCCACTTCATAAATTCAGTGTTCAGAATGAAGAGTTTACACAGATTCTGCTGCTAAGTGATGGTTGCCTCCCATTTCTACTGTCTTCAACAAGTATGAAGTTATGGAAAGTGGCTCAGATATATGTTTTATTTTTATTTCCCATTAAAAAACAAAATAAATTTATTTACTTAGGTGTTATATATAATTCTCACTCTTAACTACTTTGGTTGCTAAAACGATTCTCTCAGTATTTTGCAGGCTTTTTTTCACTTGAAAAAAGTACCTACCAAGTGAAATTCTCATTGAACTTTCAGTCAAATAAAGGAAAGTAGGAATGAGCAGTTTCATCGAAGTGTAACTGCACAGAAGTGATGGATATTATGGGAGTGAAATGGTGATATAACAGACTTCAATTTATCCATTATCAAAATTATTCTAACAAACATTTCTACTCTTGCTAGACAGTTCCTCCCATTCTCAGTGGAGGTTGAGAAAGTTCTTTAAAATGTAGACTCACATAGCCCTCTTGAGTGGTCTATGAAAAAATAAAGCTGAAGAGAGAAGAAGAGACAAAATTAAAGATGTCAATCAAGAAAGAGTTAGGAAAACCTAGGGGGAAAAAAGGAAAAAAAAAGGGGGGGGAAGAGCCACTGTTAAGAAAGGCTAAGTGAGATAAAAAAGGGGAAAGTTTCCAGAAACCAAGTACAGTAGGAACCAAAAATGTTGTTGGGATGGAGCAATGAAAGTTAGCAAGAGTAGATTTTGAAGTAGAAACTTCAAAATCATGTGAAAGGGAAGTAGGGACAGGAATTTTGAAAAATATGTTAAATAAAGAAATGCATATATGCCAAAAAGAGCATAAGTCATAAGTAAGTGGCTTAATGAGTTATATTGAACCCTTATAACCATCACCCACATCAAGAAACTTCTAGAACATTTATAACACTCAGAATCCTCAATTGTGCCTGCTCCCAAATACTGCCTGTTACCTCCCCTCTAAAAGTACCACTCTCCGGACTTCTAATCATATATATTAGTTTTGTCCATCTTTGAACTTTATGTGAATGGATTAATATATTTTCTTTGTGTCTTGCTTATTTGCTCACTAGTGTGTTTGTGACATTCATCCAGGTTGTATTTAGCAGTAGTTTCATTTGTTTTTCTTTTCATTTCAATATATTATTACAGTGTATGAAATAGATGACAATTTATTTTTCTCCATTCTAGTCAGGATAGATATTGGATTTTATTTCCATTTGAGGGCTATTACAATAAATAATACTCTGAACATTCTTACAAATTTTTTTGAGTGATCATTCATACCCATTTTTGTTAAGTATATACCTAGAACTGGAATTCTTGGATCATAAGTTAGTACTGTATGTTCAATTCTAAACAACAACGCCAACTTTCCAAAGATTTGTATCAATTTGGCATATACGCCCACCAGCATGTTAGAAAGTTTCTGTTGCTCTACATCCTCACCAATAGCCTCTCCGACTAGTTTGTAGTGCTAAGGCATCGTAGTTTTAATTTGCACTTCCCTGGCTATTGATGAGGTTGAGGATCTTTCTCATGTGTATTAGCCTTCTGAATATCTTCTTTTATGAAATGCTTGTTCATGTGTCTTCCCAATTTTCCCTTTGCTTTGCTGTCTTTTGTTATTTGGTGTAGGTGGTATAGAAATTGATTTTGAAGGAGAGAGAAATACAAAATTTCTAGTGATCATCTAAGAGTAAAAATAAATTAATTAATAAAAGAACAATTGATAGCATGGCTTTAATTCACATAATGAATTTAAGATACCAAGGCTTTTCTTAATTGAGGAGAAGGCTTGAGATGGTGACACGTTGGGGGAGGCTGAGGAAAATTAAACATAAGGTCAGGTTAGAGGACCATATTATAAGGCCAGCTTATGAAAAGAGACATCAGTACGCAGATACATTTTCCTTTTTTGTCTCTGAAGCCATCTAATTTATTTTATAGTATTGGCCAATCCCTCATTTTGGAGCTCTGCCTTACTTCCATACGTCTATACTTTTCATATTCTATTACTTGTTTCTACTAATCATTTCTTCTTTTCTACACCCACTGAATGTTCCCCACTGTCCTTTGAGTTACTATCCCCTGAGATTTTAACCACTGCCGTGATTTAGCTCTCACTGCCAAGTGAAAGCGACAGGCTACTCCCACACTCGAAAATCATTTTTTATGCCCATCTGCCTATTACACCTGGAAGTTCTACATGCACCTTGAGATCAGTACACTCCAGATTTCTCTCCCCCCAAAATGACCCTACTGTGTCATGCCACCATCTTTCTAGACCTTTAGACTCAACTCTGATACTTCCCTGTTCTTTCCTTCTTCAACCAATTACTTCTTAATTCCACCTTCTTAGGGTGAGTCTTTCCTTTAATATGCCTGAATCACTTATGAAGATTTTTAGCTATAAGAAAAAAAATACCACTGAAAAATTAGGGATTTCTTTTTCTCACCATGGAAGACTTGAGGCAGGAGGCTGCTGGGATGCATCCAGCAGCAGAGTAACGTCTGAGTGGCATCTCCAGAGCACTCTCAGATTTTTCTCAGTCTTCTCACATTATGGTCACAAGTAAGAAGACATTTGTCCCAAATCCAGACATCATAATTCTATTTAAGGCAGAGAGAAGGAAGAAGGGAGAAATAGCAGTGTATCTTCATCCATCCCTTTCATCTGAAGTGCAAAATCTTTCTCAGAAAAGCCTAGCAGATTCCTGCTTACAACTCATTGCCTTCTGAAGTGGCAGCTTCAAAAGAGCGTGAGTAAAGAGATTTTTAGCCTTTATGGCCCTATAGTAGAGAGAAGCTAAGAAGAAGGGGTTGGGAAGGGGTCTGGGTTAACTAACCACAGTACTTCTTACATCTCCCGATTACACCCCCATGGAGCATCATTATTTCTAACGTGTTTTCCTCTTCTATTCCTCCTTAATTTTTTTCTTTTTTTCTTGCTTCCTTTCTTTTTTTTCTTCCTTCCTTTTTCACTTTTCATTTTCTTTTTCACCTCATTTCACAAAAGCATTTGAAAGCGATTTATGGGAAATTAATTAGGCAACATAATGAAATGTAAAGAGAGAGAAATAAAGAGAAACTCTCTGGATCATCTGGAGAAATGAATAAACTACCTACAAATTATAATTTCTCAACTTGGATTATGATAAAAAATAGGTAACAAATAGAAATTATTTTCAATGGAAACTCTTGGTGTGTTAGGTAGACTAGGTCCTGGTAACAAATAAATAGAGCCATAAATGCCTACACTGTGATAGATGTTTATTTCTCGCTCGTGCAGCAGCCAGGGATCAGCTTTCTCTCAAGCAGTGATTTGGGTTTCCAGTGATTCTGGGTTGTGTCCTATGGCTTTCATACCTTAGAGCCTATGTCTGGATTCAGCCTAAGGAACGGGATAAAAGGGCACACTAACTTCTTAAAAGCATTAGCTTAGCAATGGCAAAATTTATTTCCACTTATATTCCATTAACTAACACACGGCCATTTCTGGCAAATGAAGTATAGTTGTATGCTCAAGAACAGCTATTAGTTTTGCCACACCTGCAACTCAGGTATTTTGTGTTGCTGATGGAGTAGGACACTTATTCTGAGATGCAGTGTAACATTCGCATTAATAAAATGTTTAGATAATGGAGACAGAGTCAGACCTGGTGTTGAACCCATGTCTCTC